CTACTACTACTACTACTACTACTACTACTACTACTACTACTACTACTACTACTACTACTACTACTACTACCACTACCACTACTACTACTACTACTACTACTACTACTACTACTACTACTACTACTACTAGGCTATATAAATAGAAAATAATCGTACACAATGGAAATAAGGTGCATGGACGTGCATAAACACTCTTTAGATTATCGCAGCAACATACATTAATACTATCACTCACAGCACAATTATTGATGACGATATGCATATCACATTATGAACAATCAGAGCTCTTCTATTAGTAAGAAACGAAAACCATCAAGGTGGCATTTCATAAAGTGTGTTTTTTAAATGAATGTTAAAATTTGCCTCCGACATTGTATTCCTCAATTATTGTAAAGATAATTAGTTTTGCGAAACCTGCCCCTAAAAAACAACAACAAAAAAAAGGAAATAAGGAGGAGAGAGAAAAGAAACAACGGAAAAAAAAATAAACAGTAATTGATAGTTTGGTTTTCAAATGTCTCTGTCCTTGACCAGTACACTAACTGCTGTTTTGTCCACATCATTATTTATAAACTGGAAACATAATATAATGATAAAGAAATAATTCGTGTACTTTGACCTTTAGCGTCCTGTACTGCGGTTTATTCCAATGCGTGGTATAGCTTGCTCACTTTCGCCTGACTGGGGTTAAAACAAGATAAAAGTAAATTGCTCTCAGGTCTTGGCATGCGGGTCTAAAAGTTGGATGACCAACAGAATCTAAAAGCCCAAATAAAAATGTTTTTCATTTATGGAACAAAGTTTTAATCAAACATGTTTTTCCGTTGATCTTCAGGAGTCTAATGGAAAGTTTTCTGCACATCGGCATGTTAATAAGCAAGACTTTAATGTTTTATTAACGCGGTTAGACGAAAGTGAACTATAGATGCTTCTGTCCTTGACCAGAGCAAAAACGTGCGTGTAGGTCAACAAGTCGATACGAAAGATACCACCATAGTTGAAAAAAGAATAGTTGGTGTAACTTAAGCCTGCCAAAAACGAAACAAAAGAATGATATCGATATTTTTGTCTGTTTTAGTTTTAGCAAGAGTTTTTCCGACACGATGTTTAGGGCCGTTTGCTAATGTGGAAATCAGCTCAGTTCAAAAACAGGAGACTGCATGGTGACAAACAGCGAAGGATTGTTTGTTAGACTTTTGTTGATAGGTTTATATGGTCGCTTTTTTTTAAGGACACGCGGGCTAACCCAGATTTCGGAGGTTTCCAGAAATCTTGACTCCCCCCAAAAGTGGGCGTTGTCATACCTATAGGAGAAGTTTGGTTTCACTGGTGTGTATATTTGTTTGGCTGTAGAGAAAAATCTCCTTGTCTTTTAAAGAAACTGAACAAGTTTTCTCAAAACACCATTTTTCGGGATAACCCCCTTGTGCTTAAAAGTGACCATAATATGTATGTGTGCTTCTTGTCATTCTCTCTGTTGCTTCTGTCTGCCTGTCTGTCGTCTTATCCTTTCCTTACACTAAGTAAAGTTACTGTTATTGTGTCGATGTGCTTTTGTTTCCTCTAGTCAAATACCCGATATGTGTTTTACTATTATGGTATGTATGCAGTGTACTTGCGTGTGTGTGTGTGGGGG